GATGAATATGATCCTAAAGGTTAGCGCTATAGACCAAAATATCATCAAAAAATATAACTATGAAACGACGAAGAAATGCAGAAAAAACCTCATTCATGGTAGCTTGAAAAGTGGACGGAGCATTGGAGAGGCCAAATGGCATCACTACAAATTCGTAGTGTCCCTGATGTGTCCGAAAAGCAGTCTTATGAATATTTGTTGGCTCCATTCTAATCTGATGGTAGCCTGAGTGCAAGTCAAGCTTTGAGAAAATGTGCGCACCATGTAATTCATCCAATAATTCATCAATGGTGGTATTGGGAATTTTTCCTTAATGGTAACTGCGTTTAGGGCCCTGTAGTCGACACAAAAACGCCATGTTCCATCTTTCTTCTTAACCAATAATACTGGGGAACTAAAAGAAGACTGACTTGCTCTAATAAGACCGCCTGCCAACATTTCTTTCACCAAACGTTCAATCTCATTTTTTTTGAAAATGAGGATAGCGATAAGGACGCACCTGAACAGGTTTAGTTCCAGGTTGGAGGATAATTTTATGATTCAAAGTGCGCTCAGGGGGTAGTGAGGTAGGTGGTGTAAATATATCCGTGAACTCATGAAGTAATTGCTGAACTTCTGGATTAATGCCGATGTTGGTGGTGTTATGGGTCGTATGGGATAGAGGCTGGCTGATGGTGGTTGGGTCACTGGAAGTAAAACACATAAGGCAAGCATCAATAGAGTCATGGGCCACCAACTTCTGTAACTGGGCCGGTGAAATCAAGGAAGGATCCATAGTGATGGCTCCTTGTAAAACAATAGTAGTAACACCTCTAGAGAAGAACATAGTCAGCTTTTGATAATCAGTAATAACCGAGCCCAAAGTAGCTAACCATTGTACCCCAAGAACAAGGTAAGCTCCCTTGAGGTCAATAACAAATAAATCCACTAGGAATGATTCAGATTGCAATATTAATGGTACGTCAAGACATTTTTCCGTACACAGTAATTTGTCCCCGTTACCAACTTGAACTGTGAAAGGGGATATGTCATGTAATGTCAAGTGAAGGTAAGAAGCCATGCATGGGGTGAGGAAGTTATGAGTGTTGCCCCCATCAATTAGAACTTGCAAAGTGTGGCCTGAAACGTGCCCTTGTAAACGAAAGGAGCAGGACGTTCTATGTCCAAAGAGAGCATTAAAGCTGATTTCTGGTGGAGAAAAGATTGGTTCAACTATTTTCACTGAGTTTTGTGCAATGTCAGTGGTGTAATCTTCTGTATTATCGCTTTCATCACCTTCCATATACAGAAGATCAGGTTTAGCTTTACATTTATGGCCAAACGTATACCTCTCCTCACAGTTGAAACAGAGGTTCTTCTCCCTTTTAGCATGTATCTCGGCAAGAGATAAGCGTTTAATTGGGATAGCAGCGATGGGTGAAGCGTGAATGCTGGATGGAGTACCTGAAGATTGTGCTGGAGCAGTGAGCTTGAGAGGTTTTAGGAGACCATGTTTTGAAAGGTCTGTCAAGATTCAATTGATCTTCATAGACACGAGCTAACGCAAAAGCTTGATGGACATCTGTAGGTCTATGAGGAATCACTGCACTACGAATCTGGGGTTTCAAACCAGAGAGGAATAAACTCTCGGTAAGAATGGGTGACAAACCCGGAACGCGGCTGGATAACCGTTCAAAAGCAGTTTGATAGTCTTGAACTGAAGCTGTTTGTTGTAATTTCGCAAGGAGTGAGGCAGGGTCCTCAAACTCGCTAGGGCCAAAACGTTGGTTGATAGCCAATACAAAGGCGTTCCAAGTAAGAATAAGGCCATCTCTGGACATGCCTTGAAACCAATTCGCGGTTGGATCGTCGAAGTGAAACGAAGCAAGTAACAATTTATCAGCCTCAAGTGTTTGATAAAACGTAAAGTAACGTTCGACAGCGAACAACCAACGAGAAGGATCGCTGGCTGAAAATCGGGGTAGATCCAGTCGTGGTGACCGGCCACCAGATCCAGGACCTAGAATACCATTATGACGACCATGATGGGCACCCATACCTTGATTTGGGGTTTGCTGGATAGCACATTCCAGATCCGCTCGCATTTCGTCAAATCACTCATGTTGTTGGTTTTCCATTGCCTCAAAACGTCGATCATGAGCTACTTCCCATGCTGTGATCAATTGTGCATTGGATGCTTCCGCCGTTTGAAGACGTGTTTTAGTCGCGTGAAGCTGCTGTCAAAGATCAGTGATCTGTTGTTGTATGTCTTGCATCCTAGTGTTTTCTGCCATAGGAGGAGATGCATCAATAAAAGCACCAAGTTGTTGGGGAAAGAAAATCAGAGAGAAAGTAGAGAGAGAAGTAGAGAAATTAGAGAAATTAGAGAGAAGTTTGTCCAACGATTTTCTATTTTTTTTTTTTTTCTGTATATATTCTCCACAATGAACTTGCAATTCATCCCACGTGTACACTCTTGGTATCAATGTAAATTTGCAAGGTAACTAAAATAATGGGACTCAGTCCAATATAAAATCTATAAGGTGTTTGGGCTTGGTGGTGTTTCTTTTGGGTCTCATGACCTGGTCCGGTTGAATAACTCTCATTGGATGCAGGTCCCCTACATACCGTCATCTCTATGCTATAATGTAGAATCAATTGAAATATTCTATGCAGTGTATTTTAAACTAAAAATGAAATAAGTTTCGTACGCGTAATACTAGTAAACCAGTCAGGATGTATTATTATAAATTGAGAAGACATCCCGAAACTTAAATTTTATAAAATTTCGGTATTACAAATACTCATATCTCTCATATAAATGCAAGATTTACCCTTCAACTTCAAGTATTGCACTTAACCATAATCAGAGCCAACGCACATGCCACCAGGACACAACCATCATCTTAGCTTAATATCATTACTAAACATAAAATTTTATCATATTTATTATGAAATTAATATGGGTAAAGGATTTCTTCACTCAACGAAGATAAATTATCTATGGTGAGTCCAAAACGACATTCTTTTGGGACAGAAATTAAGGTGTTTTTTTTTATTTACAAAAAAGAAGAAAAAGAAATTAAGGTGTTTTTGTAATTATAATATATTGTAGAGTTATATTAGTCTTTATCATTATAATTTTTTAATTTTATAGTGAAGATAATTTTATATTCTATAATTAAAAATATTTTTTCCAATTAATATTTAATAAATAATTGACATGACTTTTGATAACTACACTCGTCAAGCTACTGTAGAAAAAAGAAAGTGAAATTTCAAAAATGTTGTCAATTTCAGGTTCCCCGTGATTGGGCTCAAAAAAGATGAGCCAGCAATTACAGTCCTAAAAATATTATCAAGAAAAAAACTGGTCAGAAAGGGACTTGTACTATTTTACCATATCGTGTCCCAAATGGTGTCAAGAAAGTCTTGTCCAATTCTTAGTGACTGTGTTTAAAGGGTGGGATCGCTGAGAGTGAAAGAGATGCAGACATTCGTTCTTGCAGTTGCATGCCCCAGGCAGGGCATCACAAAGACAAAGACAAAGCCAAAGCCAAAGGCAAATCAGTAGTTCCACATGGACCCTGTCGTAGACGATAAATAATGCGTGTATTGGAATTGGAAGGGTTAATGTCGGTTCCGTTGAACCGTTGAGTTGACGTGGAAGTTCTCACCACCACAGCGCAATGCCATCCCCAACCTTCTTCATCATCACCGCACTATGATCCTTGTCATTTTTTTCAAAACGGGACCACAATATTTATTAGCAATAGCGAATTTTATCTTTAACAACATGCCACGCCAACAACTTTCTGGCCTCACAAATATTCAAGTCTCTACCACCTCCACACTTATATATATATATATATATATATATAGGGGAGAGTTCTTTTGACTCCAGAGTAAGACTTTTAAGTCTTACTCCAAATCCCAGCCGTTGATGGACGGAAATCAACGGTTGTCATTAATAGTATAATTAATAATTAATTAATTAATATAACTTCCTAAATTATAACCGTTGGATGGACGGAAATCAACGGTTAGGATGGAGAGTAAGACTTATAAGTCTTACTCTTGAGTCAAATGATCTCTCTCCATATATATATATATATATATATATATATATAAGGGCAGGATATTCTTACACCACGTGATAGCCGTTAGATCAAAAAAGATCAATGATGTCACATGCTTATAAATCAGAATCATTGATCTTTTTTGATCTAATGATTCTTAGATGAGATGTCAAATTGATACTGGTGTCAAAGATCCTACATCGTGTATATGTATATATATATATATATTCTTACTATCTCATGTATTCTTACTATCTCATTTTTTCACTTTCAATTTACTATCACTCTAATATAATTATATATCTCGAAAAATCTAATAAAAATTGCTTTTTTTTTTTTTGTTCAGACACTTTTTAAAAGTTATTTGCTAAAAAGTGGGATTTAACTGCCGAAAAATGATAGTAAATTGGTAATGTAAAAATTGAGTAGTAAGAATATCTACCCAATTTTTTCACTTTCAATTTACCTATCACTCTATATATATATATATATATATATATATATATATATTATATATGAGTCATATTATTTTATATATGATGTAAATTATATTTTCAATCTTGATAGTTGATGTTATCTATATTTAACGGTCTTCATATATTACATATAAACAAATCAATGATGAATATTTAATGTTAGAATTCTCATTGTTACACTAGTTTCACTCTGCTTATTAATGCCTTCCTTTGATTTACGGTCGTCTGAGATGACCATCATATGCCAAGAAATGAGAGTTGTGGATAAATAAATGGTTGTTTCCACTTGACTCATAAGAATATTTAGTATTTTGCTATATATAGGCGTTGAAGACTTATATGCATTATTGGTATTTATGTGAACCTTGAACATTATCTTTTCTGTCTGAGGCTGAGCACTGAAGTGAAGCCAAAACACATCAAAATAGAGCAGAGCACATTCCTGAAGTAGGTTAATTATCAGACTGAAGCCAGACATAAGACTCTTTTTGTGTTTTCAGGCTTTGCCACTTTCTTTCTGAGGCACAGTCTTTAAGTTTGAATCTATCTCTTCTCAAAAAGAGACTGTGAGAGATTACTTTCAATTGAAGAAACTCTTTCTTTCTCTCTTTTTTGATATATTGTGAAAAAGGGGTTTCTCACTTTCTGCAGGATTTGATGAATTTTGACTGGTTTGATTGTCCTTTATATGGATTATTACATAGCATGCCATTAATTTTTTTAATCTAGCTGCTAATTCTTCAATTTGTAGTTCACTGCATGGATTATACACATGTGCACACCTATTAATGTTTTTGTCATTCCATCAGCAATCTACTTGCATGATAAAAATATCTGCAATCTGCATTCATCTTTTGCATTTAATTTAACTAACTAGTCTCTGTGTGACTTGCCATGATGGTTGTATCCATGAAATTGAACTTGTCATCTGGTCCTCCATGACCATTTCTTCAGAGTTGGTGAGACTGAACATGCTTAATTGTTTTCTAGGTAAGTAGTACCCTTTTGTCCAGACTAATTGACCGTGGAAACTCATGGAGAAACAAGAATTATCTGCTACTTATGATCCTGATGCCAGCAGTGATCAGCCAGGTTCATTTCAGATATTCAAATTGCCAGATAACAGTAAAAGTGAGGAGGATTATAGAAAAGCCGTAAAACTTGATGGAGGTGCGGTAATCGCTCCCTCTAATTCTGCAGGTGGTAGGGAATCTGTCAACAGATGGATGGCATTTGCTGGGAAGTCTAAATTCACAATTGATGGCAACTCTACTAAAAGGGATCTTTGTGGGGATAAAATTATAATGAAAGACAATGACTTGATGGATGAAGCAACCATAGCTGAGAGAACTGCTGAATGGGGTCTTGTGATGAACTCTGGTAATTTCAAAGCAACAGGAGTAGTAGATAGAAGTTCCTCTGACAGAAGCAAAAACTTATCAGATAGACTTGTTGAATCAACAAGGACTTCTGGGGAATCAAATTATGGATCCGAGTCATCATCAGGGGTGTTCCCAAGGGTCTCACAAGAGTTGAAGGAAGCATTGGCGACGCTGCGACAGACATTTGTTGTCTCAGATGCAACCAAACCAGACTGCCCAATCATCTATGCTAGCAGTGGCTTTTTTACTATGACTGGTTATTCTTTAAAGGAAGTTATTGGAAGGAATTGGTGAGCATGTGCGCTGCCTTAATAGATAGCAAGATATATTCTGTTTCAGTCTACATCCTTAGCTACCATTACCAGTTTACCACCAAAAGCTGGTTAACTGAACAAAACATACTGTTCAACTGGCAAACTTTTCTACTATTTTAAGTTGAAAATGTGGGAGAGTGAGTCTTAGTAGATTTTTAGCTAGAAAATATATATTTGTTTTTAATCAAAGCAGCCAATTTTTGGTTGCAGCCGATTTCTTCAGGGGCCAGATACTGACAAGAATGAAGTTGCAAAAATTCGGGATGCAACTAGAAATGGGAGAAGTTATTGTGGCAGGCTTTTAAATTACAAGAAAGATGGAACTCCGTTCTGGAATCTACTCACTGTCACCCCCATCAAAGATGACCATGGCAATACTATCAAATTCATTGGGTCAGTCCTGCCTTTCCTACCTGGTTTTTCTTGCCTTGATATCACAGGTTTTGCTCACTAAATCATGTATAATGACTTGTGTCACTTTTACTAAAAGTTCACGTGATAAGTAAAATTCATTTGTCTAACTGATAAATGCCTTTTGCTTTTGGTTGACTAAGCCAAAGGTTTGAAGCAAAATGCTTGTTAAAAATATTAAATCATTCTTGGGCTTTAGAGAGTTGGTCTTTGACATGGTATTTGAGTGTCGTCTTTTGCTGCTTGGGCGGGTTATCTAGACTGTGGTTTGTTTGTGGACTATAAAGGATGTTAGTTGAATCTAATATGTATATATTGTTAGTTCAATTCAAATGGTTTTAAACTGTCCCGAATGAGGTTTAGTATGTGTGCATAAAAATCAAATTGAAATGAATAAGCAGAGTTATGCACCCAATGCAAGAAAATCTCACTCCTAAAAATGCAGTGCATTTAAGAAAAAACAGTAATGATACTTTCTCGAACTTTATCTTCACAAATCCCTCACAGTCTCTCATCCTTGCCGTTGATTGGCTAACACCTTGGTCCCGCAGTAACTTTTTTGTTTTTTAATAATCCAGATGAATCTACCCTGGAATCTGTGAGGGCTTGTGAGGATAAAACGTGTACAAGTATCATTACTCAAGAGAAAAACATGACCTCTATGGCGGATTAGAACTCTAAGCTTAATAAAGCTAGAAAGTGCTTTCACAGAGCAAGGATGTATCTTGAATGTGAGTTTAAACTATATAATAATTTTAAGTAAACTACTAGTATTATTAATAGGTGAAATATGTTTAATACAGCTTTTAATACAGAATGCAGGTTGAGGTGAGCAAGCACACAGAAGGTGTGAATGAAAAGGCGTTACGACCAAATGGATTGCCTAAGTCATTAATTCGTTATGATGGTAATATATTCAGCCAATTTTGGGAGTGTGTGTGATTCTGACATTACGTTTAATCGTCTAATTTCATTTGACAGCTCGTCAAAAGGAGATAGCTTTGGGTTCCATCACTGAGGTTGTCCAAACTGTTAAGGATCCAAAATCTATTATTCGGGCTATGAATGATGATACTGCCACCAAGCATGCAGAGCAAGAGAAATTCAATATTGATTTTGCTTTGCCAAAGTCTGTCGAAATTGGGAATACGAGTGCACCTGGAAGACAAACTTCACTGAACTTCCAAGATGATATATCGGATTTGAGTTCTTGCCAGGATAGGAGCAAGTCATCAAGAAAATCAGGACGGATTTCTTTCAAAAGGTTTTTTTTTTTTTCTTAAATTTTATTCAACATTCAGGTCTCATTTTGAGAGCGAGCCTTGGAGTAGTTGTAATATTGCTCCTTTATGACTGAACGTTCACGGGTTTGAGTATGGGAAACGGCCTCTTTGCGAAACCGCAAAGGTAAGGCTGTCTAAAATTGACCCTCTCCCAAACCCTCCCAAAGTCAGTGAGTCTTATGCATCGGGATTTGCCCTTTTCCCCTTTTTATTCAGCTCTTGTTTTCAATCATGCAGAACTGACTGCTAAAAAATTATTTTGAACTTTTTTGTGCTTTGCTTACATTTCATTCATTAACTATATCTCCTATTGTGTTATTGATGAATGTTTAGCTAGCAATTGTGAACTCTTTTGCGGGATTCAGAGTATGTGCCTGATAAGTATTCCATTGTTTCGCAGTTTTAAAGGAAGATCTCTAAGTTCTGTAGGGAGAGACGAAGAGAAGCCCATTGTTGAACCCGAGATTTTGATGACCAAGGAAATAGAGTGGTTCAACAGTTGGGAGTGTTCTGAAAGAGAGAGGGATATAAGGCAGGGAATTGATCTAGCAACCACATTGGAGCGGATAGAAAAGAATTTTGTGATTTCGGATCCTAGACTTCCAGATAACCCAATTGTAAGATGAATTTTATTTTTGATTTTCTTGGGAGGTGCCTTTTTTTATTAATTAACTTGGTTACCTAATATAAAGCCATTTTTGGGCCTATTCCTAATAATAACTTAAACTTTTGGGAGATGTAGCCTTGACACTGGTTAGAGATTTAACATAATATAAACATTGACGTGCTCTCTTTTAACAGCTTGAGTTTTCGGAATAGTTAGTTCATGACATGATATCTGAGCCTATATGACAATGTGATATAAAATTCAATCCTTGTTGTCCCCCATTCTTTTAAATTAGAGTTAAATTTTAGCATAAGGTATGGTGGGCATGTGCATTATCTATACTTCAAGCTCACAAGAAGTTTTTTTGTGAAGGGTGTGTGTTAGAGATTTGATATAATATAACTAGGATGTACATCTCTGTTTCTGTGTTAGTTTCCTGCTATAGAAGATTTGCACTCATATTGTATAACAGCTATTGGAAATGATAAGAGTTGGAAATGGTAATTGCCATTGGAAATACTAGTCATAAATAGCTGTGCATCTAGAGCTCTGTTACTATTATTGTTCTTGTAAATATAATCATTCTTTTGTGTATGTAAATAGCAGCCTGATTAGTGTCTAATCACTCAACCAATTCACAAATGTCCTTTCTATATTTGTTCTCAAGTTAGCTATCATGTAAACCACCTTTAAACATCTATTTTATATGTCTAATAAATATCACAGGATCATTTTAAATTTTCTGCTGGTATTGATAGTAGTAGTATTTTACTATCTTGGCAGGAATTGGTTTTTGTTATGTACATATATACATAGAAGCATGCGTGCATGTACACAAACAGACATCCGTCATGGGCATATAGGATATGAAATTTGTTGAGTGTGCTGATAATAGCTTTTAAGTGACTACTATTGGTTCCTGTGCAGATATTTGCATCTGATAGCTTTCTTGAACTTACAGAGTATACGCGAGAAGAAATTTTGGGACGTAATTGTCGGTATAATGTTTAATATACAAGAAGTTTAATTTTTCTTCTATGCTCAGTGCTCTTTTAGAAACATTATTATGCTGGGTTTCTGTTAGATTCAACCAGTAATAGAGAGTTGCAATGGAAGAAATTAGTGTATTATTCAAATAAATTCTTCTGACAAATTGAGGTAGCAGCTTCCCCAAATACAGAATCAGAAGAAAAAAAGAGATAAAAGATAAAGAATGCAAGTAACACTGTCCTAGCCTTTCAGATTCGACCCCAATTCCAAGTTCTAAACCCAAATTTTCCTGCCCTTCTTCAAGTGTTTCCCTCTATTTAAACCTACCAAAATCCTGATTTTCCTCTCCTGACAGACATTACAGAAGAATTGATGCTATCATTAAGTCCAGAGTTATCTCAGAATTAATTTGCCAGCTCACCTGATCTTTTATTTCCTTTTCTAGTATAAATAATTCTGGGTATTTGGTAACTTCACCTTATCAGTTTCTGTCCAGTTTTAATAGATTAATTGTGTTCTCAGTATCTTACGGTCTCCTGCCAACTATATAAGTTTGTCTATGTTTTTCCTGATTGTGTAGTGCTCTATCACTTGCAGGTAGTTTCTTATATCATTCAAATTTTCTTGTTCATATAGAAAAAATGGATTATATGAACTGTGTAAAAGAGGGAAGAGATAAGAAATGAATGTGAATGCTTTCAAATGTTGGATATTTTTGGCAATCACCTTTAAGGTTGTGGACCCTTTTTTTTTCAGTCAACCAATATTTTTGTCTTTCAAAGATACAATCATCATCATTTTATCCTAGAAAACTTTTGTGATGAATTTAGTTCTAATTTTTTTAAAATTGTCACAAAATAGGTCCTTCTTTGTCTGATCGAGAAAAATAAGTGTTTTAGGGACTAATTTTTTGACTTTTGCATGATTGAGGAACTAAAGTGATAACAATTTGCATCGTTAAGGCCTAAATTAATGTCAAATTTCTTTGGAGGATCACAGTGATGACACTTTACATTACTGACGGACTAAAGTGATGAATAGATTTTTTTGTGGACAAAAGTAATGACACTTTTATCTTTGCATGACAAAAATAGTGGTTTACTCTTATTTACAGTAGCTTTCTATTATATGATAGATTTTTGTACCCAATATTTACCACTGGTAAGTTAGCAAGATAAATGAATGACTTATCATATATGGTTGAGATATCATGTCCTGTTTCTGATATTCTTAGATGGATATCTACTTAAAGCAAACTTTTGTTTGCAAGGCCAGTGACATTAGAGTGCTCTTCATCCCTTGTATAGGTTTCTTCAAGGACCAGAAACAGATCAGTCAACTGTCGCGAAGATTAGAGATGCTATCAGAGAACAGAGGGAAATCACTGTTCAGTTGATCAACTATACTAAGAGTGGTAACAATTGGTCATATTATTGAGTATCTACACTTGTGACTCTCTCTCTGTCTCTTTCTTCATTGCAGGATGACTTATCCTCCCTCCTAGCTGTACTTCTCTATTTTCCTTTGTGAAATTTCTTTTATCAAAAGGAAAAAAGTTGCACTTTTGAAAGTTGCCTAAAGCTTGCAATAATGTGGCAATCGGCTGATTTGGATTATTGTTGTGATTTTGTTACATTAAAGGAACGTCCCACTCGCACACGTAGGTGTCCTAAGAGATTAGAGGGCTTTGCAATGTAATGACACATGTATTAGGTTGGGCAACTAATTGTTTTGTTGCCACGTACATAGGTTGCGTGTCACTTCTGTAGTTAGCTAGCTGACTGTATAATGCTTAGGGAGGAATGTATAAAATAGGAGAACTCTGATTACTGAAAGGCATGAATTGAATAATACAAATTACCCATTTTCCTTCTTCTTGCTCTGTTCTTCTTTTCTTAGGGTTCTTACCCTAACAATTGGTGCTTTCACTTACTTGAATTCAACATGGGGCTTAAGGAATTATCAGAAGAATTGAATTCCTTTCAACAACGCGTTGATTCTAACATGGATGAGATCCGTGTTCAAGCTGCAGATACAAGATCGCAGATGGCTCTTTTGATGACCCAGATGCAACAACTTCAGGAAGCGGTCTTGGCTGGGAACGCTCATCATCGAGAACGATCTCGTTCCAGTCCTCAAGGGGGTACGTCTTCGTCGTCTCCGAATTCCTTGCCGCAAAATTTTTCAGATCAATGAGCATTACTCAAGGGAGTTCGTATGGAGATACCCATTTTTAACGGGAGTGACCCAAATATTTGGATATTCAAGGCTGAATTATTTTTCAACCTTTAGAATATACCAGAAGAAACCAAGGTGTCGCTAGCGGGTCTTCGTATGGAGGGCATGGCTTCTGCATGGTTTCAATGGACTTTTAGCAGTGGAACAATCAATTCGTGGACGGATTTTACGGTGGCCTTGAGGCAGAGGTTTGGCGCATCAGGCTACAAGAATTTGAAATGTGTCTTGTCAAAGTTAACTCAGACTACTTCGTTGAGGGAATATATCCAAAGCTTTGAGAGCTTAGTGAATCAAGTTCCTGGGCTCGATGATGATTTGTTGATGAATTTTTTCATCTCGGGTTTACAATCTGAATTGCGTAGCACTGTTCAACTCAAAGAACCCATTTCGCTTCACCAAGCCATCCTTCTTGCGTTGGCTTATGATGATCATTTCAGAGAGCTTAAGGCGTCGTTTCAGCCTTCACAGAAAAGGCATTTTTCGAAACCTTGTGCAGTAGTTGATGTAATTCATAATTCTAGTCTTATCTCCACAAGTAGCGCACAACAACATACAGTACAACCGATTCCTGCACTACCTGCTCCCTCCAACGTGAAGAAAGTTTCTCATGCTGAGATGCAAAAAAAAGGGGAATTGGGTCTATGTTACTATTGTGACGAGAAATGGTCGTTGAAACACAAGTGTAAAAATAAATTGTTGCTATTGATTGTTGATGACGAGCAAAACGATCTTGAGGGTGAAGAGGAACAGATACTGTGGCAAGCTGAATTCTCTAGTATGGAGTCTAAGGATGCTTCCTTACATGCTTACATGTCAACGATCAACCTAGATCCTTATCCTTTGTTTCTCAGCTACAAGATAAGGAGGTGTCTATCTTAGTTGATTCGGGTAGCACACACAATTTCATCCAAAGGCAGTTGGTGGATGAACTTTGTTTACCTATGGTCCATGTTCATAGGATACAGGTATTTTTGGGCAATGGGGAATTTTTGATTGCTGATAGGAAGTGCTTGAAGGTTCCTATTTCTATAAGGTTATTCTTTCATTGTTGATCTTTGGGTGATTGATCTGGCTGACCTTAACATTGTTCTTGGCATGCCATGGTTAGGAGTATTGGGTCGTGTTACTCATGATTACTCTCAAGTGTCTACGGAATTTTCTTGGGAGGGTCAACAAGTCTGCTTACAAGGCATACAAAATGCTGGTTGTCAAGGTAAGGTAGCAGCAGAATGCCATGTTTTGGAGGTTCCACAAACTGATGTGGTGCAAGAGTGTTCTACCAAAGATAGAAATGTCCTTCTAGAGTTGTTAGCATTGAAAGCATCAGTTCAGCCCTCTTTGTGGATGGTATTGATTCGTTTCCAGCATATTTTTACCATTCCTCGTGGGTTACCTCCTTTCAGAGGCCTTGATCATGCCATCCACCTCCATGATAGTGTGGAACCAGTTAATGTGAAACCTTATCGTTATGCTTATCACCAGAAATCTGAGATCGAGAAACAGGTGTCTGACTTATTAGAGGCTGGTTTCATTCAACATTCTAAGAGTCCGTTTTCTTCCCCAGTATTGTTGGTCGCAAGGAAGACAATTCATGGCGCTTATGTATAGATTATAGAGCGCTGAATGCGGTTACCATTAAGAATCGTTTCCCAATTCCCACCATTGACGAGCTGTTGGACGAATTAGGTGGCTCACAAGTCTTCTCTAAACTTGATCTTTGCGCGGGAGACCATCAAATTCGTATGCAACCTTCTGATATACCAAAGACAGCTTTCAGGACGCATGAGGGACACTACGAATTTTTAGTCATGCCATTTGGTTTGACTAATGTGCCTGCTACTTTCCAAGCTATCATGAACCAGTTATTCAAGCCATTTCTTCGCAGGTTTTTTATAGTATTTTTTGATGATATACTCATTTTTAGCAAGTCTGTGGAGGATCATGTTAAGCATTTAGAAGTAACTCTTGAATGTCTGTTGAGAAATAGATTCTTTGTTAAAATTAGCAAATGTGCTTTTAGGGTGGAAACTATTGAATACCTTGGCCATATAGTGAGGAAAGATGGTGTAATTGCTGATCCTAAAAAAATTGTAGCCATGTTCAATTGGCCAATCCCGAAAAGATTAAAACAGTTAAGAGGGTTTTTGGGTCTTACAAGTTACTATAGGCGTTTTGTTAAAAATTATGTCATGCTTGCTATGCCATTAACATAGTTACTTAAAGGTTCAGCATGTGTTTCTTGGTCAGTAGCTGCAGATGAGGCATTTCTGATCCTCAAGGAAGCAATGGCATACACACCTGTGCTGACTCTTCCTAATTTTGAAGAGCCATTTATTCTGGAGACTGACGCATCTGGTTCTGGAGTTGGAGCTGTCTTATTGCAAAATGACCACCCTATTTTGTATTTTAGCAAGAAATTAGGTTACCGATTGGCAAATGCTTCGACTTATACCAGGGAATTGTATGCTATCACCGCTGCTGTTAAAAGGTGGCGTCAGTACCTATTGGGTTCTCAGTTTGTCATTCGCACAGACCACAGAAGCATTAGGGAGCTATTAACCCAATATATACACACTCCGGAACAACATGCAAATAATTGGGTTTTTCATTTAGGATTTAATACAAGCCTGGTCGTTCCAATTTAGTGGCAGATGCATTATCGCGAGTATATGAAGATGGCTCCTTGAATACTATTTTGTCCGAACCTAAATTTGATGTACTGACAACTATTAAACAACAAAACAACTCTGATCCCTTCCCTGTACAACTACATAGGAAGCTATGTGATGAGCTTGCGGGTGTACCAAATATTCTGAGTAGGGACGACATTCTGTTTCATAAAAGGAGATATTTGGTAAGTCCAACCTCTTCCCTAATTCCAACTTTAATATCTGAGGCTCATTATACTTTGAGTGGTGGTCATGCAGGAGTTTTGCGAACTTACCTTCGGCTGTCTGCTAATTTTTTTTTGGAGTTTAATGCGTAAGGATGTTCAAGATTTTGTTAGCAAATGTGTAACTTGTCAACAGGTCAAGTATGAAACTTCCAAGTCAGTAGGATTACTGTAACCATTACCCACATCAGATGGAATTTTTGAAGACCTTTCAATGGACTTCATAGTTGGCTTACCTACATCAAAAGGGTACACCACGATAGTTATCATTGACAGGTTATCTAAGTATGCCAATTTTGGCCATTTATCTTCTTCTTACATTGCAGCTTCAGTAAGCAATTTATTTTGTGATTTGGTAGTCCGAAATCATGGCTTCCCTCGTTCCATTCTCACTGATAGGGATCCAATTTTCGTCAGCAAATTCTGGTCTCATCTCTTCAAGTTGAGTGGAACAACGTTGAGGACTTCTTCTGCCTACCATCCTCAATCTGATGGTCTTACCGAAGTTACGAATAGATATGTTGAGCAATACCTACGTTGTTTCTGTTTTGAGCAACCAAAAAAGTGGTCTGAATGTCTATGTTGGGCACAATATCATTATAACTCAGCTGCTCACTCAGCTATTGGCATGTCACTATACCAAGCTGTCTATGGTAAACCAACAACGATGGTTCCTTTTTGTCCTAGAGGATTGGGGAAGGTTGACTCCTTGAATATGCTGCTCCAACAACGCAGTGAGACACTAGCTCCTTTGGAAATCAATCTTCAGTGCGCCCAAAACAGAATGAAGACTCAGTATGACAAACATCACAAGGAATGTTCTTTTCTTGTTGGAGATCGAGTTTGGGTGCGTCTTCAACCTTATAGGAAGATAAGTGTTGAACGCAGAGCCAATCATAAGCTTAGTAAAAGGTATTTTGGTCCTCTCCCAATCTCTAAGAAGCTGGGTCCAGTGTTGAAGGAAGCCAAATTCACCCTGTTTTTCATGTGTCTCAGCTTAAACCCTATGTGACTTCTAATACTGATACTGCTTCTTCACGTCCTTTACCTGGTGATTTTGTAGATGATATGCCGGTACAACAACCAGTAGCTGTGTTGGATGTTCGTTCTACGTTGATTCGTGGTAAATCAGTTCGTGAGTTGTTAGTCCAATGGTCTCATGGCTCTCTGGAGGAAGCTTCATGGGAGAGAGAGGTGGAGTTTCGTTGCTGTTATCCCATTTTCGACCTTGAGGACAAGGTCTCTTGTGATGGGGAGGCGACTGTTACATTAAAGGAATGTCCCACTCGCACACGTAGATATCCTAAGAGATTAGAGGGCTTTGCAATGTAATGACACATGTATTAGGTTGGGCAACTAATTGTTTTGTTGCCACGTAGCATAGGTTGCGTGTCACTTCTGTAGTTAGCTAGCTGACTGTATAATGCTTTGGGAGGAATGTATAAAATAGGAGAACTCTGGTTACTGAAAGGCATGAATTGAATAATACAAATAACCCATTTTCCTTCTTCTTGCTCTGTTCTTCTTTTCTTAGGGTTCTTACCCTAACAGATTTTGTTTTTCAAATTTAGTGTCCTTTTGTTTTGTTTTGTTATTTATATGCTGGACTCTTACGATTTTTAATCTGTAGGAAAGAAATTCTGGAATTTGTTTCACTTGCAACCAATGCGTGACCAAAAGGTGATGATGATACCATTCTTCTAGAAACATTTAATTTAGATTGTGGAAAGTCAACCCCCACCCCCCCGCTTTTAGTTTCTTATTTTATTTTCAATGGTTTGTATTTAGGGTGAACTTCAATACTTCATTGGTGTTCAATTAGATGGAAGTGATCATGTAGAACCCTTGAAAAACCGCCTGTCTGAGAGAGCTGAGCAGCAAAGTGCTAAGTTGGTCAGTGTTGTGTAATTTCTTTTTAGTCTTCTTCGCATTCTTGTTTAATTTTTTTATCTAGTTACCTTTTTATTTACTGGTCCAGAATAATGTAATCCTTTGTTTTTATATTTGACTTTATGATAGCCTCCTGCCATTGTTTCAGGGTAAAACTAAAAGGTTGCAAATTCTGTATGTAACTGGAGTAACTGGATATTTTCCCTTATTAATATGTTTTTCTGAATAGTTTGATTACATATTTAGCATTTTCATTTTTCAATAGCAAAAATTTCTGATATTTACAATGGAAGACTATGAGGGAAAGCCTTGGAGCAGCGGTAAGGTTGCTCCTTTGTGGCTGGAAGGTCACAGGTTAGAGTCTGCAAAACAACCTATTTGTAAAAATGTAAGCCTCACATCTAACCAGCTTACCCTTGCAAAGGCCGGGAGCCTTGTGCACCGAGGTTTAGGGTTTGCTGTTTCTTTTTTTAAGTGGAAGACTATGAACATAATGTTTCAAACCTATGCAAACATATCCACGCAAATGGAGGGACTTTCAGCTTCTGTGTTCTTGTTCTATGGTCTCCATGATTGTCATAGTTTGTTCATAGGTCTGAACTTGTCAGTTACACATAATCTTTCTTTTCCCATCATGTAAGGTACTCATTATTCCTTGTTTTAATGTAGAAATTGATAAAAAAAAATGCCTGCTTAGTAGTTGATTTTTATTTGGCAGAACCAGAGTAGAAATCACCTTGAAATTGATAGAGTAAATGCTTGCTTTAGCTCAGTTCAAATTTTATTGACTTTTATGTTTATTTTCATTTCCATCAAATCCACTTGCTACATTTTATATGGCTCTTCATCCAGTTAGTATCTCAGAATTATTGTAAAATGTTAGTGCAAATACTTACTTTGTTAGACTGTTAGCAGGTAAGACATAAGAAAATATGAACTTATTTGTATGAAGTTAATAGATGCAAAGAGCAGGAAATCGTGAGTTAATGCTGCTTTTGTTATTAGTTTAGTATGTATTTCTGATTTCAAAAGAATCTTTTTCACCATGAGATTTAACTTAGGTTCTTAGTATACAATTGAGTTCGTCTCACTGGTCGATTTGTCTCTCTTATCAGGTGAAAGCCACGGCAGAAAATGTTAATGAAGCTGTCCGTGAACTTCCTGATGCCAACTTGGTAAAGTATTCCTTTTGGGTTAGCATTTCGGTTTTTTAAACTAAAGGTGCTTCATTTTTTATGCAAAAGAAACAGATAATTCGTTTTCTTTTTTCATAAGCAGAATAGAATATCAAGAACATCATTAATATAATGTACAAACCCATATGGACACCATTGTTGGTGTGCCATATATATGCTGTATATATGTTCTTCCAAAATCTAACTCAAATGCTAACTAGTATGGGGAATGTTCTCACTAGTGGCATTTTTTAGACGTTGTTAGAATATCTAGAGAATGTATTATAATATCATGATTATATGCATGTTTGGGAAAGCTTTTTTCAAGTGCAATAATTTATTTTTTCCTTTTTCGAAAGCTCTCACATGAAGCTGCCAAATCGAAACTATTTTGACCTCAAAATAATATTTATAAGATTTATTTGCTTGAATGGTAACATAACACTATATATATATATATATATATATATATATATATATATTCTTCAGATTGTCCCTTAACGCATTATTTTGTGTTTGCTATAGTTATGTAATTGTATGAAGAGATGTGGTATTTTTTATCAATTTTGTTCCATGATATCTTATGGTTCTTTTATATTGTAGAGACCAGATGATTTGTGGGCAATTCATTCTCAACCTGTCTTTCCACGACCTCACAAAAAGGACAATCCCTCTTGGGTAGCAATTCAAAAGGTACCAATATATGTATTTCACTTGCTATGTCACGACATTTATACAAATAATATCTCATTTCATGGAAGTTGTACATACGAGAAGAGTTGTGTGGAGTCAATGCGAAAATACTTGATTCACTCTACACAATTATCTCGTTTAAGATATGTGTCTTGTTCTGCCACAATATATAAAGATTTTTTCCGTGCTTACTTGGGATTTCTTTTGGATGGCAATCCTCTACCTAATGAGTCTAATTCTTCTTGGCACCCTTTGAATCATATGATCTCTAAACGCTAATTGGAAGGGTTTTTTTGACTCATTAGGTGGTCTGATTATCCTTTTTTTTTTGGGATAACTTATTTGTCTAGCATCATCAACAACAACATCATCAACATCACCTTTAACCCAAGTTAATTGGGGTCGGTGGTAGATGAACCCAATGATAAATAAAAGGAGATTAAAAAATAAAAAAAAATAAAAAAAAATAAATAAATAATACAAAAATAAATAAATACATAAATACAGAAATAAAAATAAAAAATTGGGGAAGGGGAAAATAAGATAAAAGACAAGAAGGGAAAAAGAAGGAAAGGGGGGATTGAAGAGGAAAAGGATTAAAAAGGGACTATCTGGAACATAGGAATAACAACGGGTTTAACCTTCCTCCCTGCTTATAGCTTTTTTTTTTGATAACCTATTTGTCTAGCATTTCCTTGTAATATTTTCGTTCTTTTTTGAATTCAGTTGGGAGTTTCTTCATAAAGAAAATCACGAGGGACTTTGATTTGGTGTGGGAGAGCAGTATTGATATCATTATGGTAGTTGGGGAGGAGGTTTTATATGGGCCTAAGAATGACGGGGGATTGGATCACGGGAAAAGAACAACACTAGCAGATGACTATTTTTAACTATGGAAGAAGACTAATGTATCATAACCAGTTGTGACAGAAAAGAAGATAAATGAGTAGAAAAATGTATTTTAGCATTATAAGTTCTCAAAACAATGAGCCTAAGTTCTGTTTTAAGTTTAGCAGAAAAGGCAGAAAAATCAGATCTTCAGAACTGTCTACGGTGTTATACTTGCTTGTATTAAACTTTCTTACCTGGAGAAGTTGAGCATAAACTTTACTCAAGGAGGTAGGAAGCTCATGTACTAGAAGAAATTGAGTATGCATATAAGGATATTTCAGGTCAAATCCTTCTAGAAAACATTGCAAATCCTGACTCTATGTATTCTTGCATCTCTTGAACATATTTGTGATGGAATCAGATTGCACACTACAAGTAAAATAGGAAAGCAACAACATTGATGGTATTAAAATGACCTAACAAACAGAGACACTTTACAAAGGGAAATTGCAGATTAAAATGACACTACTAATATTGCTAACATAGCCTGACTCACACACCCTCTCAAGAGGACTTCTCAGTCCCTCTCTACCTTCTTATACCCAATGATAGTGAAACTTATCATACCCCCCACTGTACACGTTTACCCCTTTATATCTGCTTCCTATATTCTTTCTCCTATAACTACCAAATCATTCCATATCACGTATCCATCCCACATCACACATTCTGTTATGCTTATTGTTGCTCCTCCCCATTCTGTCCTTGGGCCTCTGATGTATGTTGTGGCTTATTTGGGTCCATCTCCTCTTCATTCATTGGGTCTGCCTCCCTAGTGTCTTCGTGACCCAATTCCTTAAAGTCACCCCTCTTTTTTCTTGTATATATCTTCTTGAGAGGCTCACCAATACCTCCCTGCTTAACACTCACCTTGTCTCCAAGGTGAAAATGAGGAAATTGCTCCTGAAAAATATGCAAATCTTCCCAAGAATTTACACACTCAGGTAAACCTGTCCTCTGCACCAAAACCTTAACACACTTATTCAACAATTTGTGCGCCTCTAAAACCTCACTAGGCTGGACATACAATTCTAAAGTATCAGTCAGATACCTTGGTAGATCTAGGACAATTGTTGCTGGATTGACAGCCCTCTTTAGTTGAGAGACATGGAAAACAGGATGTATTTTCATATATGCAGGGAGCTGTAACTGACATGCCACTTGACCTACTTTTTTAGAATTTCAAACGGTCCATAAAATCTAGGTCTGAGTTTCTGATTGACATGTTTGGCCAAAGACTTCAGTTTGTAAGGTTGGAGCTTCAAAAATACTCGGTCTCCCACATGAAATTCCACCTTACATAGATGTTTATCACCCTGAACTTTCATCCGTTTCTGAGAATGGCAAAGGTGTTGTTTTAAGTCGGATAGCAGTGCATCCCTAGTCTATAACAGCCTATTCATTGCATCCAACTTAGTACAACTTGCTTCAAATTGAATGAGTAAAAGGGGATCACGTCCATATAACGCCTTGAAAGGTGTCATCTGTGTGGAACGGTTGAAAGAGGTATTAAACCAAAATTCCGCCCAAGAGATCCACTTAACCCAACACTTGGGATGTTTCCCAACAAAACACCTCAAGTATGTTTCAAGTGTTCTTTTCACCACTTCCGTTTGACCCAACCATATGAGGATGGTACGCGGAAATGAATTTCAAAGATGTGCCAACCGAATGAAAAATTTCCCCCCAAAACTTGCTACAAATATTCCGTCTTGATCAGACACAATTGTTTTAGGAAACCCATGCAGCTTAATAATTTCCTTAACAAACACAGCAACCACGTCTGGTGCAATAAAAGGATTGGATAAGGTTACAAAATGAGCATATTTGGTGAGACGATCCACCACAACCAAGATAGTGTCCATGCCATGTGATTTCGGTAATCCGCCAATGAAATCCATTGAAATATCTTCCCACACCTATTTTGGAATAGACAGGGGCTGTAGCAGACCAGCCGGAGCTAATTGGCTATATTTCTATTGTTTGCAAGTGTTACAAGCCTTACCATAATTGGATACATCTCTTCTCATCCCTTTCCAAAAGAATAAAGCAGAAATCCTCTTAAAAGTCCGCAATTCACCCGAATGGCCCCTCACGAAGTACAATGGAACTCACGTAGAAATTGAGGAATATAGACAGAAGTTGATGGTAATGCTAAACAACCATTAAACCATAAATACCCCCTGGCTACTGTATAACTTGGATGAGACTGTCGTTTTTGCAGAACTTCGAGCATTAGTTGCTGCATGGCATGGTCAGTCTCTACCTCCTCTATTAATGAATGCAAATTAGGATTGGAAATCATAGATAACTCCTTAAATTCCATGACCCTGGATAGGGCATCTGCTACCTTGTTCTTTACCCATAATCTATATTGGAATTCGAAATCGAATCCAAGTAACTTCACCACCAATTTTTGCTGTTTTTCGGGCATAACCCACTGCTCCATAAGATACTTGAGACTTCTTTGATCCGTGCGAATAATGAACCTCTTTCCCAATAAATAATGTCTCCACTTTTGAACTGCAAACAAAATAGCTTTCAATTCTCTTTCATAAACGGATAAATGTTTTTCTTTTTCCGAAAATGCTTGACTGAGAAAAGCTATAGGAACGGCATCTTGCATTAACACTGCCTTAACGCCTAGGACCAGAGGCATCTGATTCAATAATAAATTGCTTATCAAAATCAGGCAATGCTAGCAGCGTATGCAGATTAATTAAAGCTTTCTTAAGATTTTCAAATGCCTTGTCTGCCTCTTTTCCCCAAATAAAACTGGCTTTTTTAAGCAGCTGTGTTAAAGGCCGTGCAATCAAGCCATATTCCTTAACAAATCTTCAGTAGTAACCAGTGATTCCAAGGAAACCCCTGACCCTTTTGACATTCTTTGGTTTCAGCCAAGATCTCATGGCCTCTAACTTGTTGGGATCCGCCTTCACACCTTCTTGGCTGATTATGTGCCCTAAGTACTCTAATTCATGTTGTTCGAAGCTGCATTTCTTTAAATTAGCAGTCAATCTGTGCTGCCTTAGTGCCTCCAATACCTTAGTTAGGTGTTGTACATGCATTGTGGTGTCCTTGCTATATACAAAGATATCATCAAAAAAGACCATGAAATTTTTTCTTAAAAAAGGTCTAAGTATCTCATTTATTAATGCCTGAAAAGTGGAGGGGACATTTATAAGCCCAAATGGCATCACGAGGTACTTGTAGTGACCCTCGTGAGCGCGGAATGCTGTCTTAGCAATATTCTACACCCTCATCCTAATTTAATTGTAACAAGACTTCAAATCTAGTTTAGAAAACATTGTTGCCCCATTCAACTCATCTAATAATTAATCAATGACAGACATAGGAAATTTATCAGTAATAGTTACTCGGTTTAATACTCGGTAGTCCATGCAAAATCTCCAGCTTCCATCTTTCTTCTTGACCAGTATCAACGGGCTTGAAAAAGGGTTGGTACTTGGCCTAACCATCCCCAAAATCAGCATCTCATTCACGAATTTCTTAATCTCCTCCTTATGGTGGTGAGGGTAGCGGTAAGGCCTTATGTTTGGAATAGCCGCTTCTACTATTAGATTGATCTGGTGGTCACAATCTCAAGTAGGTGGCAACTCTGTTGAAGGTTGGAAAATGTCGTGGTACTTTTGCAAAACCTGAGCTATTTCCTCTAACTTCCCTTTCTGCTTCCTTTCGTCTATCACCATCAATGGAAAAAGATAGAAGTCTTGTACTACCTCCGTATTACGAAACTTCAATGTTAGTCGATGGCAAACGCCCTTATTCTGAACTTGATGTCCATCGCCTACCTCCACCATATGCGATTTTGTAGCATCCACCATTAGCCCTAGCTCCTTCACAATCTGGTCATGCAAGAAGTTGTGTGACGCTCCTGAGTCAACAAGAACCACAACCTTTCTCCCTTTGATCTCCCCCCCAAACCTTCAACGATCTATTCGAAGTCACACCTACAATACGGTGAACACTCAGCCTCATCGTCAAGTCCTCGGGGCTCATAGCCATCACTGCTGCCTCGTCCTCTTTCGCGTCACATTCACCTCCCCCTTCGAGCAACATGGCATGCAGATGTGGGTTTCCATAGACGTGATCAGGAGATAAGGGTGCGTCACACTTAAAACATTGGTTCCTTCATCGGTGGTCTGCAATTTCCTCCATCGTCAGCCACCGGATCCTTGGTCTTCGATCACTACCACTAGCGTTATCAGGCATTCCCCTATTGTTCGATCATTGGCCTTCACTTGCCTCAACTGTTCCTTTCCTTAAGATGACATTAGGTTCATCGGGCCGGGTTTGAGGCCCATTACTTTTATTGCCAACATTATTGGACCCACACTAGAACCAGCCCAGTCCACTTCGCATTCCTGTGTTGGTGGTCAAGGCTGGTCTTGAATGAAAACTTCCCCCTAGTGCATTAGTAAATGACCCACTACGGCCCATATGGGTTGTCTTCTTCCCTAGTATGGTTTCTTTATCTTCGATACACAGAGCCAACGACATGATTGCCTCCATATCAGTCGTCGGTTGTAATCGAACTTCTGCACGAATTTCCTCCCTAAGACCGTTTAGGAATGCCGCTTTCATCACCTTATCGTCTGCTCCCCTTAAAGGCACTACTAACAATTTGAAATTCTCTCATTACTCAGAGATGGTACCGGATTGTCGAAGGCACATAAAAGCTTCATATGGGTTCCCTGAAGTGGTGTTGTGAAACCATTGCAGTAATGCTGCTCGCAGCTGCCCCCAATCGACGGTTGGATTTCGGGCTTCCCATCATTGGAACCAATTCAGAGCTTTTCCTTTCATATAAATTGATGTGGCCTGCATCTGCTCTTCCGGTGGAATTTGGTTGAGCCCGAAGTAACGTTCGGCCCAATATACCCATCCATACGGATTGTCTCTCGTAAAGTATGGTACCTCCAGATGCCTCATCCGATCTTCATCTCTTCCATTTCCTCCATTGTTCTCTCCTCTAATCTCACCATCCCCCTCTGGATTCCCATTTCCTCCCATGTTCCCTTCTCTCCCTCTATCATTCTCCCTGTTCATAAAAGCCAAGAACGTCTCACGAAGCTGACGCATTCCCTCCAACTGGGTCGTTCTCCTTTCCACCGAATCTACTTGTCCCTCCATTCTTGTATTTACCATTCAATGCTCCAAGGATCGAGAGCTTTGATACCAAATTGATGGAATCAGATTGCACACAACAAGTAAAATAGGAAAGCAACAACACTGATGGTATTAAAATGACCCAACAAACGAAAGACACTTTACAAAGGGAAATTGCAGAATGAAAATGACACTACTGATATGGCTAACATAGCCTGACTCTCATACTCACTCAAGAGGACTTCTCAGTCCCTCTCTACCTCCTCGTACCCAATGACAGACATTGACAATGAAACTTATCAAACCCCCCACTATATACGTTTATCCTTTTATATCTGCTTCCTATATTCTCTCTCCTATAACTACCAAATCATTCCATATCACGCATCCATCCCACATCACACATTCTGTTATGCTTATTCTTGTTCCTCCCCATTCTGTCCTTGGGCCTCTGATGTATGTTGTGGTTTATTTGGGTCCATCTCCTCTTCATTCATTGGGTCTGCCTCCCTAGTGTCTTTGTGACCCAATTCCTTAAGGTCACCCTTCTTCTTTCTTGTATAGGTCTTCTTGAGAGGGTCACGATCCGACTCTATGTATTCTTGCATCTCTTGAACATATTTGGTAAAAAGAACTTAGTGCTCTTATCTTCGAAGATCATATTTAGTTCCTTGGAGCACTCAAAGACTGTTTTCTCCTTCTTTTAAAGGATTTGAATGGTTGGTTGTGACCTAAATAGACTATGATACTGTCCTCTCAATTTGATTATTTGTACACTTTATAGTTGTTAAGAATTTATTATTCCCTAGCCTCAACATGCTTTTCATTGGGAGGTTCTTCAAAGAGATAATCTAGCTTGTCTGTGCTCTTCGTATAGCACTGTGTAAGGTACCAGAAACAAGGAGAGAAATATTGGAAACTAAAACACTGAATTCGCATTTCTGTAAACTGATTCTAGTAAGAAACAGGAAACAACACACAATGAAGGGAATTACAAAGTAAACAAAAATTACAGAGAAGAAACAAATGACTCAGTAGCATTCGAGAGGCTATTGTTTTTTCCCAAAATCTCATTTCCAATCCTACCAATTTTAAATTTACAATAATCTATATTTTCCTTTTAGTATTAACAGCAATCTTTGCCTTCCCCTATTGTTTTCATCGGTTTCAAAGCTATGCTCATTCTCCTTTTTACTCAGGCTGACAATAATCCAACACTCCCAACACCAGGAAAAAAGAATAGCCAAATTAGCTATTAAAATAATTAAAATAAAAATGTATTTAAACTTTGTTACGATCCAATTGCAAGGTATGAGACTTGGAGTCCCATATCGAAAACTTAAGGTTCTGGTGTAGGGTTTCTATGGACTTTGGGCTCTCCTACCTTACGAACTAGCTTTTGGGGTGAGATTCTCCCAAGGTTCGTATCAAATTCCTGAATCATTTGGTTCTTAACCAACTGTGTAGACATCGAAGAAGTCAATGATTGAGTTTAGTATGTTAGGAAGCAAGACTTGAATCATGTTTATTACTAGATGCAAATTTTGTATTTCGCTAGTCAAAAGATATGATACTATTTGATTGCTACATGGAAATGAAGAGGGCTTTTGAAGACAAGAGCACTATATTTCCTCTCATGAACCAGATCCAAAAAATACAAGAACAAAAGTCGTCTGAGTCTCAGATTTTTGAGTTTCAATAACCAAAGAGAAACTGAAAGTGAGGGTAAGTGAGAGAAAGTTTACTGTAGAAGATTTGAGCGAATGGGAATATTCTGGAAATGAATCTGCAACCGTGTTAAGAAAATATCTGAGTCTCTTACAAGGTACATATAGCCAGAGGCAGCTGTAACTATCTCTAACTAACTACCTATATTAACAGCTCTCAGTTTAGAGAACCAACAGAAACCCAAACTGAAAGCTGAAAGCGTGCTCTATAGAGAGCCTAATACAGACCAGCCACTTTAACACAAGTTCTGCAATGACGTTTTGGTAGATTTGGACATCGAATGTGAGGTTGATACTCAACTTCTAGGCTCTGTGCTAACCATATCCTTAAGTGACATGTATGCTCAACTTTTTTGGGTAAACTAGGACAACTGTGGCATTAACTCTCGAAGTTCTGAATTGTCAACCTTAGTTAGTACTACTTCTGGTATTTGGTTTACCTAATATATAGTTTTAGCTCAGCTTTGATTCATCTGTAGTCACTGTAGTATATGTTTATTGGTGATATTTGTGATGTGTTTCGTTGCTTTTTCAGTGTTTAGGGTTTTCATTATGCAGGTTAGTTGCATGGTAGTCACAAACTAGTGTTCATCTTTAAATTTGAATATGTATGACAGGTTTACAAACTGGTATGTTGGTTTGTTTTGAAAAAGTTGTCTTTATGTTGTTGTTTTCATTAATTTTATTTCTGACTCTTAGATAGCTGCAAGTGGTGATAAGATGGGCCTGCATCATTTTTTGCCCATAAGACCATTGGGTTGTGGAGATACTGGCAGGTAATATGTTTAAGTTGCTTTGGGAAACAAGATTGTATAGGTGGCATGCATCCTCTGGTTATCTTCTCAACTTAGAATTTGATGCACATCTTTACTTCTTTTAATACGTCGTTGCTGATCATCTTTTTGTTTTCATTCAATGTGTTTTTTTCCCCTTGAATATGCAAATCTTACATGTATGACATAAATTGTTTTGCTTTTGCTTTTATTTTTTTAGATAGCAAGGGGAAACATGTGAAGATAAGGTTTAAGAAACCACAATGCAAAAGAAAAACAAAGAGTAAAATCCCCATACCAATAGGAAACCATGAGCAAACGCATCCGAAGGAGAAAACAGAAGAAGAAACCACCACAACTGTCCCAAACCTTCCTGGGAAACTCCTTCCACAAAATGCCCACAATAAAAGGGGAAAATGTATTCAGAGATGAAATTCTATATTGTTATCTTTTTATTTAGATTACTAGGTACAAAATATATGCTAGGAAAACTTTCAAAAACTACATACCTTAAAATCAGTAAACTTGCAAGAAATAAGGAAGCTAAGAATCTGGAAAAAAATAGAGTGCAAATAATCATTAAAAAAATTCCTAAACTCGTAGAAATCGGGAAGCATGTCTGGAAAGAGTTGTCAGGACACTCTTCCTCAAACTCATGAGTAGATGTTAGTTATTCCTAGTTTGTCTTCCGGTGCTTTCAAAACTTGGCATAGGAAACCTTTTACTTAGAACATCTGCTGCTTCTTGTTTTGTAGGCACACATGTCATGTTTTATTCTTGTAACACCTCCAAATTTTTAACAATTTATAATAACGTAGAATTTCGAAAGCTGTAAATAACTGTGAAATTTAAATTAACCAAATATGGGAAATGTTACCTCCGCACTTGTACTATGGACAAGTGCAAGACTAAATTTATTACATTAAATAAAACCAAAGACTAAAGTTTAACTAAAGGATATATGTCTTATGCATTTATTAAATCTCATAAAATTTCTAAACTTTAGAACTAGCTAAAAATATCTGAGTCGTTATCCTTACTGCCCACAGCTAGCCCCATCCTTTGAACCTGTTTCACAGGAAATCTGCTTTTCCGAAGGATCACTGTAGCCAAACAACCACAAACACAAACAGTCAGCAAAGCTGGTAATCCCAATCCAATATACAAAAAAAAATGGGAAAAATGTTTGTTCTTTTAAATGACACAACTAATGTCATTTCATCTCACAAAGAGGTGGGACCCACATCTTTATATTTTTTTGTCCACTCTCTGTCCTCCTTTATCTATCTCTTCTCTCACTTAAAATGACACAACTTTACATCCTTTAAAATGATACACACTTTTCCCAAAAAAAATATAACTCATAATAATCAAATAAAGTAATATAACTCAAAAATTCCAATCAAGTATCAACTCGTTATTAATCATATTAATCTTTATTTAGTCCTCTTAGTGGGAAGAGAACAATGGTAGACTCGGAAAACCCTGTTGCCAGTCTACCCCGTGACCCGAGAAACCCTGTTGCCAGCCATGTATAATCTAAATTGGCTATATCAAAATATCAAATCCTAATGTGTACACGTCTTCCCAAAGTTGCTACTAGTATCCCGGGAAACCCTGTTGCCAGATACTACTTTGAGAAGAATGAAAAACATCATTGTCACATCATGTAATATCGAAGGCATAAAGCCCAGAGGTTGTGTTCATCACTTTCAGGAGGTACCATCCCAAAAGCTATCTTCCTACTATTATTTATTACAATCACACACAATCAATAAAATTCAATCTTGTCTCAATTCTTATAATTGGAAAATTTCTTCAAATAGTTTTCATAATTTCCACATCAATTTAATCAAGAGTACAATTTCCAAATTCAATTTTTCAAGAATATCATAATTTTCATATTCAACATCCACCAGAGTAAAACTCAAATCCTATCATCATATCATAATTCAAATATTCACATCTATTAGCGTAAAGCCAAAGTCCAATAATTAATCCAATTAATTTCTAGAGGTTAAAATAATTTAATTTAAATACCCTAAGTGTTACATATAATATATGAAAACATCCTAAAATATCGAAGGATTAAGATTACATTTCACAAATTTAATATAAAATTATCCTATGATAACCTAGAGGATTATGTATACCAAATGTCATCTAAAACTAATTTTAGATGCCCTAAGGATCAGAATTACCTGGTCTCTGTGTTTGATGACTTCTAGGAGGAAATACGATTAGAGAAGAGAAGCGCAGTCGGCAGCTAGAAAAATAATAACAAAATAAAAGTTTGAAATAAGAAGAAAGAGGCGAAGAAGAGAAGATGGAGAAATGTTGAGGGTTGAAAGTGATTTGGTTTGGTTGGGTTAAGCCTCTATTTATAGCTGAAGTTTTGTAACTGAGACATTAATTGCGGTAATATCAAAAGTCATCATACTTATTTCAATTGTTGAAACTGTAGGTAATATTAATGGTCATCATAATTACGTTAATTATCATTAATATATTGTAACAGTCACATTTAAATGACTTGAAAAGGATGAATGTATTGTATATTGTGTATAATGCTGTACAAGAGTCCTCTATTTAAAGAGGTTAAATGACCTAATGGGCTAAGCCCAAATAACCTTCTAGAATAATAAACTAATAATAATAAAACTAATATTATTTCTAACACTCCCCCTCAAGCTGGTGCGTATATATCATAAGCACCCAGCTTGTTACATATATGATCTATTCGGGGACCTCTAAGAGCCTTGGTGAAAACATCTGCAAGTTGATCACAGGAATTGACAAATGCTGTCTCGATCTCGCCTGACTGAATCTTCTCTCTAACAAAGTGACAGTCAATTTCTATATGTTTAGTCCTCTCATGAAAGACTGGGTTAGAGGATATGTGCAATGCGGCTTGATTGTCACAAATGAGTTTCATAGGCCGTTGTTCACAGAGATGTAATTCCTTAAGCAATTGCTTTAGCCAGATGAGCTCACAGGTCGCATTTCCCATGGCCCGATATTCTGCCTCTGCACTTGATCTGGCAACCACAGTTTGCTTCTTACTCTTCCAAGAGATCAAATTTCCTCCGAAGAGAACACAATACCCGGAGGTGGATCGTCTGTTTGAAGGAGAACCTGCCCAGTCAGCATCTAAATAGCTAGACACTTCTGCATTCCCCTTATTAGTGTATAATAAACCTCTTCCTGGTGCCTTTTTGATATATCGAAGAATCCTGATAACTGCATCCCAATGAGAGTCACAAGGAGAGTCAAGGAATTGACTTGCCACACTAACTGAAAAAGAGATGTCTGATCTTGTCACAGTAAGATAGTTCAACTTTCCAACTAGTCGGCGGGTAACGACCAGGGTCTGCCAATGGCTCCCCCTGTCCAGGCAATAACTTAATATTAGGATCCATAGTTGTATCAATGGGTTTACATCCCAACATACCAGTCTCATCTAAGATATCCAGTGCATACTTCCTCTGACAAATGGAAATGCCCTTCCTAGATTGTGCTACTTCGATTCCTAAGAAATATCAAAGTCTGCCAAGATCTTTGGTCTGAAACTGATTGAATAAGTACTTCTTTAACTGATCAATCCCAGCTTGATCGCTGCCAGTAATAATGATGTCATCAACATAGACCAGGAGATAGATGCACTGGCCAGAAGAGCTATGCCGATAGAAGACAGAATGATCCGCTTGACTTCGGGTTAAACCGAAGGATTGAACAGCAGAACTGAAGCGACTAAACCAGGCCCGAGGAGACTGCTTCAGGCCATATAAAGATTTACGAAGCTTGCATACCATGCCAGAACTCTCCCCCTGAGCAACAAAACCTGGTGGTTGCTCCATATATACTTTCTCTTGCAAGTCACTATGTAAGAATGCATTTTTGATATCAAGTTGTAGAAGTGGCCATTGATGAATGGCAGCAAGTGCAAGATATAGGCGAACAGATGCCATCTTGGCAACAGGAGAAAAAGTATCTCCATAGTCAAGACCAAATATCTGAGTGTATCCCTTGGCCACCAAACGAGCTTTGAGGCGATCAACAGTGCTATCAGGACCAATTTTGACAGTGAATACCCATCGACAACCGACAACTGACTTTCCAGGAGTAGCATGAACAAGATCCCATATGCCATTGGAGTGAAGTGCTTGCATTTCATCAATCATTGCTTGACGCCAACCCGGATGAGAGAGTGCTTCACCTGTGGTTTTAGGAATAAAAATAGACGAAATACTAGAAACAAAAGTAAAATGTGGTGAAGAAAGTCTATCATAACTCAAGAAACTATAAAGTGGATGAGGGTTACGAGTGGATCGAATACCTTTGCGAAGGGCAATGGGAGTAGTCTCTGATGGAGGATCCGGATGGGAAGAGTCGACAGCAGCAGGCTGTGAGTCAATAAGGGTCAAATCTGCTGGAGGCGCAGGCTGACAACGCTGATAGGTGAGAAAAGGACGGTCCTCAGGGATGGAGGCAAGGGGTTGCTCCCCCGGGATAGAGTCTCTTGCAACTGGTAAAGACAAATCAAGACAAGGAACATGAAGAACTTGATCAACTGTGTTATCTGAGATGGGATAGAATGAAAAGGTTGTTGATCAAGGAAAGTGACATTAGCCGAGACAATATAACGCTTGAGATCAGGAGAGTAGCAATGATACCCTTTTTGAAAACGAGTATATACAAAGCAGGTACATCCAAATACATGTGGAGGTAGAGGATAGGAAGGTTCTCCTGAAAATAAAACACTATGATGAAGTTCGTTATTGAGTACAGAAGAGGGCATGCGATTGATGAGAAAGCAAGAGGTGAGTATAGCATCTGCCCAAAAACGAAGTGGAACATTCATATATTAGTAGGGTACGAGCAGTTTCAACCAGATGTCGATTCTTATGTTCGGCCACTCCATTTTGTTGTGGAGTGTGTGAACAAGTGGTCTGGTGTAACGTCCCACGTTTCTCCAAAAAATTAGAAAACTCAAGAGACACATA